CTGTTCCATCTCCTTAGCTCCTTCCTTCCATCAGGATCGCCATTGTAACTGAGGATCAGCTTCTACTGCCTTTGGCATATTTTTCCAGTCTTGGGGGATTGCTCTAGCTTGAATTGCCAAGAATGTAATATTTGCTTCACAAATGTTGAACGCTTGTCATATGAGATTATGACGTCTTTAAATTTTTATAAATATAGCATTTCTACAGGATGCCTTCCAAATTCTTCATCATCTTAGGGGTACCTGTTGTATACTAGCTGGATAAAAGTAAGGTTGGTATTGTACTGACCTTATTTTATTTCATTATACAGTGATGTGGGAGACTCTTCTTTCTCATTCTTATTTATGTGTCTGTCTAACTTTCTTCTAAGGCTTGTCTTTTATCACTCCACCTTTTATATTTTTCTTTTTCCTGTATCTCTAAAGCTTTTTTCTTTGAAAAGTTATAGGAAGCCACTATGAATATTAAGGATAAAATATGAAATACCAGAATGATAGTAATTATAATAGGTACTAAACCAATGTCAGTTAAGTCATTGGTTTTTTTTTCCATTTTCTGCTTCTGTTTGTTTTTGTTTTGTTTTTTGTTTTGGTTTTGGTTTTGGTTTTTCTAGAGAGGGTGTCTCTGTATTATTTTGGGGGCTGTCCTGGAACTCGATCTGTAAACCAGGCTGGCCTTGAACTCACAGAGATCCGCCTGCCTCTGCCTACTGAGTGCTGGAATTAAAGGTGTGTGCCACCACTATTTAGGGTCCAAATGCCTTATGTTATGGTATTTCCCATCCTTATGTGGCTTATTCCTTTTGTATTACTTACTCCATCTTTAAGAATTTCACTTTATTATTTTCACTTTTTTATGACTGTCTGTACCCTTTTCTTCTTTCTTCAGCACCTAAGCCAAGCATACCACTCCTGTTAGGAGGTTTTCTTGGTCTGGACCTGGCTTTCTGCACTGTGGCTCTGGGAAAATGTTGCAAAGCCCTTTTGTGCATTCCCAGGCCCTTAGCACTTAGCAGTTGGCAACTGACTCCGCGCCTCCTTGGGTCCATGAGAATGGAGCCTCACACTAGCTGTAACTGGCCCTTAGCTATGCCTACCAGCCCAGGCCTTTCTACTTAGTCTCCCACTGAGTAGGACTCCAGCTGCTCACAGTGCTCGGCTGCACACAGGGCCTTTTGAAAGAGCCCTGCTTCTGTACACCACAAGCAGCAGGCCTACCTCAGACTGTGGTCGCCAGGAAGCCATGTGCAGCTCCTTGTCCAGAATGTAACTCTAGCTCTCTAATAATGACGTGGAGACTTTTATTAATTATGAAAACTTGGCCTTAGTTTAGGCTGGTACCCAACTAGCTCTTAAAACTTAAATCAACCTGTTTATAGTAATCTGCACTCTGCCACATGGCTGGCTACCTATCCTTAATACCACGCATCCAATTTCTTCCATGTCTGGCTGGCCAATCTCCTGCCTCAGATTCTTTTCCAGAGTTCCTATCTCTGTCCAGAATTCCCGCCTATTCTCTGCTGCCTAACTGTTGGCTGTTCAGCCCTTTATTAAACCAATCAGAAGGTGCCTTAGGTAGGTGGCACACCTTCACACAGTAAACAAAAGGCTCATCCCAACAACTCTTAGGCTACCCCTGTGAAAGGGCGATTCAACCCCTTCGAAGCAGGTTGAGACCTACTGCTCTAAATGAACTGAAGACCTTCCACTAAATACCTTTACATTTAACTTGATCTTCAGCAATTTCCTATAGTTGGTTTAAAGTGGTTCCAGGACCCTTACAAACACCAGAATGCTCAAGTCCCTTATATAAAATGGCATAATATTTACATCTCATATACACATATCTCTCATATGCTTCTGTTTGTTCATTTATGTTTTTAAGACACAGGCAGAAATCAAATTTCCAGTCCTCCTGCTAGCATTACACACATGTACTGCTCAAACCTTCCTTCTTCTCTCCAGTGCTCAACCTTCTCACATGCTTTGTCTCCAGATTACTGAGAGTACCTAGTGAAGGGCCAGGGTGTAACTTAGTTGGTAGAATACTTGCCTGGCATACAGAAAGCCTTAATTTGACTTCAGCACTCAAGAAGTAAACTCAGGATAATCAGAAGTTTAAGATTATCCTAGGCTACAAAGCAAGTTCAAGGCCAGCCTAGGCTACATAAGACCCTGTGTCAAGGGGGCATACAAAATAAATGTAAATACTGTGCACAATCACCATATAACATTGTTTAAAGTATAATGACAAAAAGTCTGCATATGTGCTGTTGCAAACTTTCAGAATTTTATTTTGTTTGTTTACGGCTGGATGAATTCTCAGATATTGAAGGCTGGCTATATAGTTTCACACCTTTCATTAAGATTTCCAGAGGAGCCAGGTGGTGGTGGCACATGCCTTTAATTCCAGCACTCAGGAGGCAGAGGCAGGCAGATCTCTGTGAGTTTGAGGCCAGCCTGGTCTACAGTATGAGTTCCAGGAAAGCCTCCAACTCTACACAGAGAAACCCTGTCTCAAAAAAACAAAAACAAAAATTTCCAGAGGATGTGACAGGTTGGGGATGGTTGTTTTTGTTTTGTTGGGAGATGGTTGTTTTGCTTTTTGTTTGTTTGTTCCTTAAGCAGGCTCACTATACAGCCCAGGCTAGCCTCAAATTTGAGGTTCTCCCCTGCTGAGTGGTTTCAGTCACCATAATTGACCTCTACAGTTTGTTTAAATATTGGTGAGGATTTTGCTTTTAGTTATGAAGGAAGAGCATTGTATAGTTAATAATAATTGCTAAGCAATGGAGGATGGAGGTGAGGGATGTGGGTAGAGAATTCATAGGAAGGGAGCCAAGAGCAGAGCCTGTGTTAGGAAGTAAGACAAAGTAAAGCTACAGTCTTCTGGCTGAGAAGGCAGTGCACAGACAGGAGCACAGCTGTATAAGGAGGCAGTGCACAGACGGGAGCACAGCTGTATAAGGAGGCAGTGCACAGACAGGAGATAATGGTTGTATAAGGAGGCAGTGCACAGACAGGAGGTAATGACTGTATAAGGAGGCAGTGCACAGACAGAAACCAGCTGTATAAGGAGGCATTGCACAGACAGGAGGTAATGACTGTATAAGGAGGCAGTGCACAGACAGAAACCAGCTGTATAAGGAGGCAGTGCACAGACAGGAGGTAATGACTGTATAAGGAGGCAGTGCACAGACAGAAACCAGCTGTATAAGGAGGCATTGCACAGACAGGAGGTAATGGTTGTATAAGGAGGCAGTGCACAGACAGGAGCACAGCTGTATAAGGAGGCAGTGCACAGACAGGAGGTAATGGCTGTATAAGGAGGCAGTGCACAGACAGGAGCACAGCTGTATAAGGAGGCAGTGCACAGACAGGAGGTAATGGCTGTATAAGGAGGCAGTGCACAGACAGGAGCACAGCTGTATAAGGAGGCAGTGCACAGACAGGAGGTAATGGCTGTATAAGGAGGCAGTGCACAGACGGGAGCACAGCTGTATAAGGAGGCATTGATATTTTTAAAAAGATCAATGATCAAAGCCCAGTATGATGGTGCACCCCTTTAATCCCAGGGCTCAGGAGGTAGAGGCAGGTGGATATGTGAGTTCAAGGCCATCTTGATTGATATAGTGAAGTCCATGCCAGCCCGGGCTACATAGCAAGAGCCTGTCTCAACATCAGTGATCAAATAGGACTCAAATACACTTATTCCTGAACAAGAAAATGTGACGTCAACTCAAGACATAAATAAGAATGTTACCAAAGTCAGAGAAAGAATCAATAATTTAGAGTAAAATTTTATAAATATAGAGGAAAAGTTCGACAAGAGGGTTGATACACTAAAAACCAAACAAAATTTTGGAAATGAAAGAATCAATCCATCAATGAAAATGAAAACAAACAAACAGCATCACCAGCAGATAAAACCAAGCAAAAGAACAAATCTTAGGGTGTGGAAGACAAATTTGAGACAGTAAAATACAGACATGTATAAAAACAACAAAATGCTAGTGAATATAGACAAAACTGCCAAGAACTCTGCATTCATTCAGGAAACCAAACCTAAGAACTGTAAGAGCTAAGATAAAATCAAATGACTTAAGATGACTTAATGAATATGGCCAAGAAATTCTCAGACCTAGAAAAAGAAGCAGATATCCAAACATGGGAAGCATTTAGTACCTCATAGACAGTCTGATGACTTGGCTTCCATCCTCAGAACCTACATGGTAAAAGGAGAGAAGTGATCTCTCTCAAGTCATCGTCTTGACCTCATATGTGACCCCCCATTCCTCAGCCAAAATAATAAGTAAATAATTTTAAGCTTTTTTTTTTTTTTTTTGGTTTTTCGAGACAGGGTTTCTCTGTAGCTTTGGAGGCTGTCCTGGAACTCACTTTGTAGACCAGGCTGGCCTCGAACTCACAGAGATCCGCCTACCTCTGCCTCCCAAGTGTTGGGATTAAAGGTGTGCGCCACCAACGCCCGGCAATTTTAAGCTTTTGTTGTTGGGTTTTTTTGTTGTTGTTGTTGTTTTAAACAAGGTCTCTCTATGTAGCTTTGGCTGACCTAGAAGGCTGGGGTGGGGAATGTTACAAGGAAGCCTGTTGTGTTGTATGCTAACCCTTTAGAAAAGCACCGAAGCAGCCCTGGCCCTGTGGGAAACCAGACAAAGCATGTACCTGCCTAGAAGTCACACCAGCCCACCTAGACTGTTTTTTAAGACTGGGTCTTACCTGGCCCAAGCTTGCCTCAAAGTCACTCTATAGCCAAATATAACATTAAATTAATCTTCCTGCCTCCACCTCCCAATTTGTGTGATTACAGGTATGTGTGACCATGCCTGGTTGATGGAGTGCTAAGGCTCCAACCCAGGATTTTGTGCATGCCAGAGAAGCGCTCTACCCAGCTGAGCTACATTCTCGGCCCCAGACCTTAACTTGCTATGGTTTTGAAAGTGGGGGAATGGCATGATGCTACTGCCTCTTGCCTTCTGCAGGAGCTGGTCCGGCAGCGAGGAGTCCTAGAACACACGGAGAAGATGGTAGACAAGATGGATCAGGATTTGAAGATAAGCCAGAAACATATCAACAGCATTAAGAGTGTATTTGGAGGATTTATCAACTACTTCAAATCCAAACCAGTAGAGACTCCTCCTGAACAAAATGGCAGCGTTGCCCCACAGCCCAACAGCAGGTGAGTGTAGCATCCACAGTCCGGACATATAGAACAGTAGAAACAGGTTCTATGGAAGGAGACAAGGCTTTCAGGCTTTGTGGTGCCCTCAAGGTATCCTGGAGCCCTGTGGTCACTTGTGGAAAGGGACTTACCTTCCCACATGCTGAAAAGGAAGCCTTCCCTTACTCCACCTGTGTTCATCTGAGCGATGAAATCCTATCCAGTCATTGTGACTTCAGTCTTAGAGAGTTTAATCAATACAACTGTGACTCGTCTTACAGAATGTCTCGTCCCAAAAGGCAGACATAGTGGGCCTGTGTGTAGTCACAGCTGTCAAAGAGACTGGGGCAGGTAGATAATGGCAAGTGCAGGGCAACCTCAGGCAATTTAGCAAAACCTCACCTTTGAGGGCTGGAGAGATGGCTCAGAGGGTAAGAGCACTGGCTGGTCTTCCAGAGGTCCTGAGTTCAATTCCCAGCAACCACATGGTGGCTCACAACCATCTGCAATTCAATCTGGTGCCCTCTTCTGGCGTGTAGACAGAACACTGTATATGTAATAAATACATAAATCTTAAAAAAATAAAAGAGAACAATTAAAAAAAAAACCTCACCTTTGAAAAATACTAATAAGCCAGATGTGATGGTGCATACTTGTGATCAGATCAGATCAGGAAGCTAAGGCAGGAGCACCAGTCATGAGAACAGTCTTAAAAAACAAACAAAGGAGAGAAATATATGTGGTTGGATTGGCAAGATGGCTCACTAAGCCTGAGCACCTGAGTTCAATCTCTGGGATCCACACGATGAAAGAAGAGAAGAAACTTCAACAGCTTTCCTCTACATTTACTTGCACTCACAAAATAAATGTAATTCAATATGCCATATATACATGCAAACATATACATATATGGGCTGGGGATGTGGCATATTGGTAAAAGACTTGCCTAGCATGTGTGAAGTCCGAGATTCCATCCCCACCACCACTACCACCAAAAAAAAAAAAAAATGGATCATACATATGAATACCCATCTTCTCTATATCTAACCTAATCTGTCTATTAATTTCCACTTTTAAATTACAGATCATTTACCTCAAAAATTTGGGCAGAAATACAGTGAAATCGTACATAAGGACTTGGCAGACTTCAGCACATGTTCAAAGATAAGACAGGACTAAAGAGATGGCTCAGCAGTTAAGAGCACTGTGCTCTCGCAAAGGACCTGGGTTCTGTTGCCAGCACCCTCATGGTAGCTCACAACCATCTGTAAAACATTCCAGGAATTCAGTATCCTTTTCTGACCTCTGAGCACCAGGCACAGACATGCATGCAGACACACACTCATGCACATAAAATCATCTTTAAAAAAAAATACAAGAGGGACTGGAGAGATGGCTCAGTAGTTAATTAAGAGCACTGACTGTTCTTCCAGAGGTCCAGAGTTCAATTCCCAGCAACCACATGGTGGCTCACAACCATCCATCATGAGATCTGGCGCCCTCTTCTGGTCTGCAGGCACACACGCAGGCAGAACACTGTATACATTAAAAATATATATACAAGAATTGGGTATTTGCTAAAATCCGTGACCTTTATTCATACCTCAGGACATTTTTGCTTTAGGTTGTTTTTGTTTTAAAGTGGATTTTAGTTTGGTTCTAATTTTGTGTGTTTGGTGGGGGAAAGGATACAAGCCACAGCCATGTGCAAGGACACTTGCAGGAGCTCCTACTTTTCTCCCTCCGTGGGAGTCCTGATGATTACATTCAGGTCGTTTCATTTAGTGGCAAATCTTTACCTGCCGAGCCATCTCTCACAGGCCCTTGTTTTGTCTTATTTTTTGAGAAACAGTTGTAGGTAACCAGGACTGGTCTTGAACTCACCATTTAGCTGAAGACAAACTTGAGCTCTTGATCCTCCTGCTGTCACCTCCCAAATTCTGGGATAATAGTCTTACACCTCCACACCCAGTTTGAAATAGTTTTACTAGTAAAGCATGGATGTATGGGTCGGAGTCGTAGCTCCGTTAGCAGAGTGCTTGCCTAGCATTCTGGAAGCCCTGGGCTAAGTCTCCACTTCCCAGACACATGGGAATAATCCATGTACTGGGCATTGTTTTCCCACTCCACACGGTCTCCAGCGGTCTCTGACCAGTGGGAGCTTAGTCAGAAGCTTCTGCAGCACGGGGGTTGGGGGGGCTGCTGGACACTAGCCACAAGTGCATTTGCCAGGTGCCCATACCCATCTCATAGTTGTTTTGAGCTAGTAACTCCACAGAACTGTATTTCTTTATTCCCAAAAAGTTTGCCTTTTCCCTCCCTCCCTCCCCCAAAGAAATTCTTTTGATGGCTGGGTGAGTTAGAGTCTCATGTAGCCCCAGTTGACCTCAAACTGACAAGGTAGCCAAGGCCAGCTTTGAATTCCTTACCCTTCTCCCGCCGTCTCCTAAGTGCCAGGAATACAAGCATGTGCCGCCATCACAGCAAGAAATTACAGGTAGCACTGAGCCACCATGTGGGTGCTGGGAAGCAAACTCAGGTTGTCAGCAAGAGTAACAAGTGCTCCTAACCACTGAGCCATCTCTCCAGCCCCACAAAAATAAAAGTAAACAAACAGCAACAGAAGGAGAGAGGGAGGGAGATACTAGCTGGCCTGGGTGATGCATACCTGCAATCCCAGTAGATAGTTCTGTATCAGTATTTTAAGGCAAGCCTAGGATATATAAGACACTGTTTTGGGGGCTAGAGAGACAGCTCAGTGGTTAAGAGCACTGGCTGCTCTTCCAGAGAACAGGGTTCAATTCCCAGCACCCTCATGGCAGCTCACGACTGTCTGTAACTCCAGTTCCAGGGAATCTGACATTCTTACACCAATGTACATAAAATAAAATAAAATGACCCTGTTTTGTGTGTGTTTAATTAAGTTTTTCATTTTGTTTTGAATTTGTGTCTCTGTGTGTATCTGTCACATGTGTGGTCAGAACAGAGGTCAGAACAAAGTGTCAGATCCCGTGGAACTAGAGTTACAGGTGGTTGTAAGCTTCCCAAATGTGTGTGTGCTTAGATCTCAACTTGTGTCCTCTGGAAAAGAAGCCAGTGCTTTTAGCTGCTGAGTCATCTCTCCAGCTCAGAGACTCTGGATTTGCTTGTTTGTTTGTTTGTTGTTTTTGTTTTTTTGAAGACTTAAGTATCTAAGTTGACATTACCTATCATTCAGGGCAAATAGCCATATGTAAAAGCCGTTTTTTGTTTTTGGCTATATGTAAGTGATGGATTTTTATGTTATGTGTAATCACAATAAAAGAAATGTGGGGCCAAGTGAGGTGTAATCCCAGCACTTGGGAGGTGGAGGCAGGAAGACCAGGAATTTAAGATGATCTTCAACAGCTACATGTTGGGGGGGGGGGGGATTGTGGTAAGAAAAATAGATAGTAGGTCATAATTTGCTGATCCTTTATCAAAGGTATCCAGTTGGTCAGTTTATGCACTTTTCATCCACCTGACCCAGGACTCCTTGTCCTGAGTAAGGTTTCCTCAGCCCACTGTGTGGCCAGCACTACTTCCAGGGTGGTTCCAGAGAAGTCACCAAAGCAAAGCATTGGATATGTGACACAAAGCCATCCTGGAAAAGATGAGTGACACTGCTGTGCACACACTCGCACAGAGGTGACACTGTCACATGTGTTTTCTTTTCATCTATAGATTGAAGGAAGCCATTAATACAAGTAAAGATCAGGAAAGCAAGTACCAAGCCAGCCACCCAAATCTCAGAAGGCTGAATGATGAAGGTGAGTGACGATGTGTGTGGAAACTCAGGTGTAGATTCCTGTGGGGTGGGTCTCTGGGTTTAACCCTGAAGTGCCACTGTGGGGGACAGCTGACTCTCCAGAGATGTGCAGAGGCATCCCACATGTTAAGTGATGACATCAGGGACACAAGATGTTCTTGGAAACCAGAGGTATGTGTTACAGTGGGGTTCCTCCCTACCTCACTCCCCTATGGAGTGTGACTAAGGAAGTGGGAACCTGTATCCCATTGACCAAGAACTGTCTACTGGTGTAGCTCTGAGAAATTCTAGTAGTGAAAAAGCTAACTGTAAAGCTGGGTATGACAGAGCATACCTATAATCCCAGCACTTGGGAAATAGAGGTGGGCCAGTCAGGGTTTAACTGGCATGTTGAGCTTGTGGCCAGCGTGGGATATATAAGACTGCCTCAACAAACAAGAAGAAACCTCCCCAAAAATAAAACAAAAACAATCTTTGTTGTAGGTTAAATGTTTTCCTCTACCTAGGGTTCGTGAGCAAAAGAAAAGAATATGATTTTTTGTTTTGCTTTGCTTTGTTTTGTTTTTTTTGTTGTTTTTTGCTTGTTTGTTTGTTTTTCCTGACAGGGTTTCTCTGTATTGTTTTGGAGGCTGTCCTGGAACTCGCTCTGTAGACCAGGCTGGCCTCGAACTCACAGAGATCTGCCTGCCTCTGCCTCTGCCTCCCGAGTGTTGGGATTAAAAGCATGTGCCACCAACACCCGGCTAAGAATATGGTTTTATATATAACTAGAAAGGCTAATCAGCTGGCCTCCTGAGATAAGAGAATTTATTTTGGAGTATCATGTTGGGTCCAGGTCGTCCCAATACTTGGGAAGCTAAGGCAGGGAAATTCTGAGTTTGAGTTTGGGGCCATTCTAGATTATATAGCCAGATCATCAGAAAACCAAAAGCAAATAAACAAAAATGCCAGGTGTTTTAGTCATTTGGGAGATGGAGGCAAATGATTACCATGAGTTCAAATCCACACTGGAACACAGTGGGAAACCCTGTCTCAAAAGAAAAGAAAAGGCTAGTTGTGGTAGAATACAACTGTAATTCCAGCATTCAGGATAAAGGCAGAAGGATCAGTAGTTCAAGGCCACCTCAACTACATACTTACATACCAAATTCAAGGCCAGTCTGAGCTACACGAAACTCTGTCTCAAAAGAGGATGGAGGATATTTCTGTATATGTTTAGAAATGGAATTTCTTTCTTTGTATTACTTTTTTGAGACAGGGTTTCTCTGTGTAGCCCTTGCTGTCCTGGAACTATGTAGACCTCAAACTCAGAGATTCTCCTGCCTCTGCCTTTGGAGTGCTGGGATTAAAGGTGTGCTCTATCACAGCCCAGCAAAAACAAAAATAGTAAGCTCAATTTTTTAGCATAACTCCATTTTCTTTCGTCTCTGTGTAGCCCTGGCTGGCTTTGAATTCATGATCCTGCTGCCTTAGCCTCCCAAGTGCTGGGATTTCAGCTGCAAACCACCACACCAGGCAATGATTTTCATCTTTGCTTTTTTCATGTTTTGTATGGCTTGATGTGATTTTGTTTCTTTGAGACTGAGTCTCATTTAGCCTGGTCTGGCTTCAAATTCATTAGTAGAGATGACCTTAAAATTGTGATTTTCTTGCTCTGTGTTCCAGATTACAGGCATGCACACATAGCTTAACAACTTTGATTTTTGAGCCCATCTCTGCCAGCTCTGCCAGGTGTAGTAGCATACACCTGTAGTCCCAGCTATTACAGGAATAGCTTGAGCACAAGAGTTTGAGGTAAGCTTGTGCAACACAGCAAGGCCCTGACTCAAAAGCAAACACACACACACACACACACACACACACACACACACACACACACACACACACACACACACACACGCACGCGCATACTCACAAAACTAAGAGGTAGAAGGATTCCCGGGATTTACAGTAGAGAACTTATCTAGCGTGCACAATGCCCTGGTTCCAATCTTCAGCATTAAAAAAAACAAAAAACAACCTGTCTTCCAGAGCTTGCTATGAGCCTGTAGCTTTGCATTGACAGTTCTCTGTTGTATTGTTACATGTCTTTTTCCATATCTCACCTGTTGACTTGTAAGTTGAGAGTCCTTAATCTGCTAATGTTGAAGGACCAGCCAGAGCTGAGACGACTTCTCCAACCTATACACCTGTCCCATTCTCACTCCTGTCCTTCTACATGGCCTCAGAGGCAGCCGCCTCCTTCCTCCCACCCGTTAGTTCTCCTGGTATGAGTGATTCCTGGGGACAGATTCCTAGGACTTCAGAAAAAAATGGGCCAATGGGCCAATTTCACAGAGCATCGCCCTCCAGTGAATTGTCCCTCTGGTGTTTATTTCTGAACTAGACCCGATCCCCAAAGAGCCTGCTTCTGCTGTGACTGCTGAGGTTTACCCAAAGAACTCAAGCCTTCGAGCCTATCACCAGAAGATTGACAGCAACCTAGGTAAGTTTGGGAGCTGCAGAGCCTCCAGACAGTTGATGCTGAGCACAGCCAGGCACCCAGCCACTTCATCACTTCCTCATATGCCACACCCACACAGTCGTGTCCATCTTCCTGCCTCTCCGGCAGGAATCTGTCCACTTCTCCCCGTTTCCATGTCAGTCCAGCCAAGCCATCCTCACTGCATACTTGACTCCTGACCACACCTAGGCATCTTTGGGGCTTAAGAGCATCCAGGATAAAACCACACAGCTGATGTGAGTGCACAGGAGCTGAACTCAGATCTCATGTGCCCAGCAAGTGCACATATCCACAGAGGCATGTCCCACAACCTACCAAGGCTGGCTTACCTCAGCCTTTTTTCCTGTCCTTACTGTCAAACCTAAGAAGCTTCATGAGGCCTGGGGGAGTGACCACTAAACTTTTACTTTACAGGAAACACAAGGTCACATGTTCCAAAGACCTCAAGAAGCATAGTATGCCAGGCAAAACCTGTCATCCCATCTACCTGTGACTAAAATAGGGGAATTGCAAATCTAGGGCTAGCCTGGAAAATTTGTGAGCCCCTGTCTGGAAATGAAAACTATGAAGAGGCTGGGGATGTGACTCGGTGTCAGAGTGCTTCCCTAGCACGTGCGAGGCCCTAGGTTTGATTCCCCAGCACCAAGGGGAGAAATGCTGTATGTGTTAGAGACCCTATAGTCTTCTCAGGCAGCAGAAGCAGGGAGATAGGTCACTGTGACTTCAAGGCCAGCCTGGGTTGCATAGGCCAGCCTTTTCAGACCAGCCAGAGCTATCTATCAAGACTATGCTAAAACAAAGAAAGGGAGGAAGTACATTAACCACATATTACTATGTAGTAAGTAGATTTCTCCTCACTTCTGTGTTTTTTGAGTCATATGCTACAGGCTGTGGCACTCGGTCTTAGACAAGACTCTGCAGTCCGGATGCCACTGAGCATCTGGAGGGGCAGGAAGCCCCTATAGATACTGTGACTGCCTATCACTTCCTTCCCACAGACGAGCTGTCCATGGGATTGGGCCGACTCAAGGACATAGCCTTAGGAATGCAGACGGAAATTGAGGAGCAGGACGACATTCTTGACCGGCTAACAACCAAAGTGGACAAGTTAGATGTCAATATAAAAAGCACAGAAAAAAAAGTTCGGCAGCTCTAAAGAAACTGAAAACGAATTCTACTCCGTTGTGATGAAAAGATTCAAAAGCCTCTTTTAAACTCCTAGGAAATGTCATTGATTATACAGTATATAATTTAACATGTGTTCAAATGTGTATCTTAAGAAATTTTAGTCTCAATGGGGAAAGATGTGTGTGTACACATTTGGGTAAGATCAACACCACCTCTACAGTTCTGTGATGCTGGGTTGTGGAATAACCATGGCAGACTAATTGTGAATGCCTTGAGCTTTTGATTACTGCGCAGGAAGGAGAAGAAAGCACTGCATTTCTCTCTTTCATGAGTATATGCAAAGATGTGGGCAGCATGTCAGTCTCCTAACTCCTGCCTCCTGTTTACTCTAGTGCTGTAAATAGAGCCTATTCAGGGCCTTACTGTGAATTCCTGTGAAGGGACCCTGGTTTGTGGCAGAAGGAAGGGTTCTTCCACATCTTCACATGTCAATCACTGTGGACGTGCCTGCACATACACTGAGCACATTGAAGCTTTCTCCCCCTGGAAAGGACCCATGATAGACCCAGAAATGGAATGCGCTGCCTTCGTTCCTCTCCCCTCCTGTCCTCAGTTCTTGTCCTGTATTTCAGTAGAAGGACTCAGACCAGAACTGTTGGACACGACACCCACAAATGTGTAGAGATTGAATATGAGCCCTTCTCCCCCACCTACTGTCATCTCCTACTTCTCATCTCTTGGGGACAAATCTTCTTCACTGGCTCAAGGTCACCGAGTAGGTTGATGGGGAACCCCTGTGGAGTTTGTGAGCCTTGAGTATCTCCCAAACAAAAACCTCTCCACCAAGCCCTCTCTGCCTCTGGAATAGTACCAAGGCGGTGTTTATTTGGTGTCTGGAGAACCCATTCCCTGTGTTTCTACAAAATGCCCACCTAGTTTGAGGACTTGGATCCACAAATGATACTAGCCTTCTATACAACAACTTGACCAAGAAGCAGCCCAGGTAACCATTTTAGCTAGCTAGGCATGTTCATTCCCTTCATCTGCCAAAAGAAATACTTAGAAGCATTAATTAAAATTTATTTCTACAACAATTTTTCCTTGTGTTGGTACTTCCAATAAAATCATTGAAGCCATAGAGCACTTGAATTTCTTAAAATCAGATTCACATATTTTAAAGATGGTAAAAGGGACTGTTTTTTACTGATAAGATAGGCCAAAAACTAAAATGTCAGTGCCTTTTTGCCTTAAAACATGGCATATGCCATTTTGGGATCCTTCCTTTAGCATCTGGAGCAAGCATGGGACTGTGGGTGTGGCTCAGTGGTCAAGTACCTGCCCTCCTCTCTCGACCCTGGATTGATCTCCACCACTGAGAGAAACAGAAAATGGTGACAGCATGATTACTGTTCATGTAGCAACTTATACACACTCCTGTCACAAAATATCCAACCTTCTGAAAATACAGGCAAAAAGGCATGCCAATGTCCATCTGTCCCTAGATATGAAGATCTGACTATGGTGGAACTCTGTGAGTTCAAGGCCAGCCAGGACTATATACCAAGACCCTGTCGCAAACAATATAGAGACAAACTCATATGTTTTTCCACTTGTAATTGTTTTCAGCTTTCCTATAAAAGCTTCCGTGTGATAGCCTCCGAAACAATACAGAGAAACCCTGTCTCGTAAAAACCAAAAAAAAAAAAAAAAAAAAAAAAAAGCTTCCGTGTGTCATTAACTATTGCTTTTTACCAGCATCAGGCATAGCCTTGTGGAATTAATCATTATACCTGAATCCCAAGAAATTAACACCTGAGAATACCTTCCATCGGCAGCAAGTGCTAGTGATTCAGCAAGGGAACGTTTTGTGTGCCTTCCTCTGTTTTGTTAAATTAATGTTTAGCATCTGAACCATTAGAGGCCCTCGACCATCTTGTTGTGTTCTGCAGACTCATGTTATGGTCTGCTGAAATTGTCCCTTGGCCCGCTGGGGACCTGCTGAAGCAGGGTTGTTTTTGCATCACAGAAAACAGGACCTAAGGATGGTCCAGAATCCTGATCACATAATAATGGTGGCCAGATCTACTGGCTGACACCTGTACTCACAGAACTTAGGAGGCAGGAGGATTACCATGAGTTCAAGGTTCAGGATGAGATCTTTTCTCAAAAGAGTCAATGGCTGTGGTGGGGAGAGAAAGGAATCACCGCTACACTCTGGCTTAGGAAGGTTAGTGGCAGGAAGGTGGCAGGGGAGTAGAATGGGCTGCCAGTGTCACAGAGCAGACCAGTGAACATATCCTTGACATGTAAGGGCTGCAAGACAGACTGAAACACACTGCCTTCAGAAAGGTGACATTCGGAACATTAGACCAGCTATGTGCTAAGTGTGCTACTAAAATAAATACATTCCCTCCCTTCTAACATGTACTGACTTGTAACTTAGCAGCACGAGAGTGACCTCATGAATTGTTTTTCCTCATTCTGTAGGAGAGGCCTGGAGTTCATTCATATAACAAGTAAAAGATAGTGGTGCATTTTAATTTCCCTTTCTCCTTGTAAGTGTGTATAATTTTAAGTGTACAATGTATCACTTTAGTAAAAAATTTCTACTTTGCCTGAATAAGCCTTTTTCTTCAGGTGTGTGTGTGTGTGAGTCGAGGGAAAGGGAGGTGGAAGGAGGGAGGGAGGGAGGGAGAGGTGTCAGAGGTGACCCTCAGGTGTTATTCCTTAAGCACAGTCCACCTTGTCTCTCACTGGCCTGGAATTAGCAAACCCCAAGCCACCCTTTTCTCCTTCCCTTGTGCTGGAATTTCAAGCACACACCACACACTCAGCTTCTTAACATGGTTCATAAGATCCATGGATAAGATAGTTCGGGTCCCCATGCTTGCATTGCAAAGACTTTACCAAGGAAGCTATCCCAGCCATCTATATAATTTTGTTTGTTTGTCTTGTTTTCTGAGACAGGGTTTCTCTGTGTAGTCCTGGCTGTCCTGAAACTTCTTCTATAGACCAGGCTGGCCTCTAACTCATGGAGATCTGCCTACTTTTGCCTCCTGATTGCTGTGATTAAAGGTGTGGACCACTACCACCTGGCTAAGGTTTGGATACTTTTAAGTGGATGGAAAACAAATAATAGTTTATGGCATAAAATCCAGATGTTCATGTTCATAAATGCTTGGTTGGTGTAAGTCCCTGGAGGCATACAAGTGACCAGGCCCCACCCTGCAGACACAGGCAGCCAAGCCCAGACTCAGGACTTGAAATCCACCAATCTCCACCCTAGAAATCACCACCCTGGAAAACTCCGCCCCACATGAAAGCCTGTATAAACCCTGTTTCTACTGTTCTCTGCTGTAGCTCACCTGAGCAGAGGCAGCCACCCTCCTGGCTTCTCTCCCAGTCTCTTGTGTGAAGTTCATTATGCGGTGTGATCTTGTGGTATTCCTTGGCCTCCAACTGGCAGGATACTTTGCCATCTGTAACACTTATAATTGGGACACTCCCATTTGTGTATTTTGGGGGGCTGCTTTTTTTTTTTTTTTTTTTTTGGTTTTTCAAGGCAGAGTTTCTCTATTGTTTTGGAGCCTGTCCTGGAACTTGCTCGGTAGACCAGGCTGGTCTTGAACTCACAGAGATCCACCTGCCTCTGCCTCCCGAGTGCTGGGATTAAAGGCATGCGCCACCACCGCCTGGCTTTGGGGGGCTGCTTTTATGCTACTATTAGAACTGTGCTACAGAGACCATTTGGTCTATAGGCTTGAAACACTTAAATCTTTTGTCATTTAAAGAAGTTTGCTATCTCAAAGGCAGAAGGCTCAGATTGATGAGAAATCTCAGTGGGTAAAGGCATCTGCTTCCAGGCCCAACATGCAATGTTTCGTCTCTGGAACCAACTCCTGAAAGTTGTCTTTACCCCTCCACGTGTGTACTGGATCCAAGAACACACACACACACACACACACACACACACACACACACACACACACGGTTTTTGGGGTTTCTCTGTAAACCAGGCTGGAGACACACCTGGAGTTACAGATAGCTGTAAGTTGCCCTGTAGGGTTTGTTTATTTGTTTTTCCCACTGATTAAAAAACTAAAAGGCAGGAAAAGAATGTTACCAGGATCTTGGGGTTCTAAGTCCCATTGATAAAATAAGAAGTAGGAGAGGTGGCTCAATGGTTAATAGCAATGGCTGTTCTTCTAGAAGGAGCAGCTTTAATCCCAGCACCCACACAGCAGGTCACAAACACCTGTGACTCCAGCTCCACAGTATCCAACCCTCTTCCAGCAAATACGCAGCCAAAACATCCATACACATAAAAGAATATAAAGTTTTTTTTAAGTACAATAAAAGCACATCTGAAAGAAGTAAAGAATAGATACACCTTCCAAATTAGGGTGCAGAACCCCTTGGGGGCTCATAGGACTGCACTAGGGAACAGAAATTCCTGGAAGGAAAAGCACATTGTCTTAAGGTGAACTCACCTCTGAGGAGTGGTCCCCAGCCAAGTCCTTGACATGCGCCTCCATTAAGGTAGGACAGGCCATGTCGCCACCTAGAGGTAGATCCATTCTTTACAAAGGAACCTATCCCATGCCATAGAGGGAAAAGCAGCCATACCCAGCTCCCCCAGTTGGATGCCTTGTTACCCATAGCCAGAACCATGGAGTCACTCCTCCCAGTCTTGTCTTTGCTTTAATTGGTACCTGTTCTCAGTTACATTGTGTGACAATATTGCTAGGAAGGCATGAATAAATGTCTGCTCGCCCAGATAAGGAGTCAATAAGAGCAAAGGCTACCACCAAAGTCTATCTTGGTGAACCAATATGTTTATGGGGTTTATTACAAAAGCAGAAATTACTCAAAAAGGGCTACATCACCAAAAGCCCACCACAGCATAGATCAGGGTTCACTACACAACTTGCAGACAGCTCAGTAGGTTGGAAAGTGTTTTCCCAGGTGCTTCAATTGCTCTGCCCTTCCTCCAGGCAGGGCGACTGGTCTCTGCTCCTTCCAGGCAGAGAGAGTCTCTTGCAGTCCTTCTTGGTATAAGTTTGGGGAGGAAGGGGCCTAATGAATCTGGTCAGTTTCAGGGACTTCCTAGTGCTATTAAATTGTTTATTTTCTGAATTTTAATGAACTTTCCTGCAGGAGGGACTATTATGTCTTCCTTTAGGACACCATGGGTCTTTTTTTCTTTTTTTTCTTTTTTTTTTTTTTTTTTTTTGGTTTTTCGAGACAGGGTTTCTCTGTATTGTTTTGGAGGCTGTCCTGGGACTAGCTCTGTAGATCAGGCTGGCCTTGCGCCACCAATGCCCGGCCCGACATCATGGGTCTTAAAAGAGTTTCTCTCCAAGACTATTGGGCTTTTCCCCCCCCAATATTTTAATGATTTATTTTATTTTTTGTGCATGGGTGTTTTGCCTGCATGTATGTCTTTGCACCACGTGTGTGCAGTGCCTGTGGAGACCAATGAAGCCATCAGATCTCTGGAATTGAAGCTACAGATGGCTGTGAGCCACCCCTTAAATGCTGAGAACGGAATTCAGGTCTTCTGCAAGAGCGGCAGGTGTTCCTAACTGCTGAGCAGTCTCTCCAGTTCCCAAGATACAATGTTTCTCCTTGTTTGAAATTGTTCCATAATATTAGTAGAAGACCTATTTGTCTTAGTTATGTGGTCTATCACTGTGAAAACACTATAACCAAGGCAACTTATGAGTTCATTTGGGGTTCACAGCTTCAAAGGGTTAGTTAGAGTCCTTGTCTTGTTAGGGTGTCTATTCCTGTGAAGAGATACCATGACCCTAGCAACTGTTCTGATTTTGTTTGGGTTTTTTGTTTCTTTTATGTTGTTTTGTTTTGTTTTTTTTAAGGAATACCTTTTATTTAGATTTATTTATTTATTTATTATGAACACAACATCTTGCTTCCATTATGTCTGCACACCAGAAGAGGACACCAGATCTCATTACAGATGGTTGTGAGCCACCATGTGGTTGCTGGGAATTGAACTCAGGACCCCTGGAAGAGCAGCCAGTGCTCTTAACCTCTGAGCCATCTCTCCAGCACTGTTTTGGTTTTTTGTTTGGTTTTGGGTTTTTCTTTTTCTTTTTTTTTCTTTTCTTTTCTTTTTTTTTTTTTTTTTTTTTTTTTTTGAGATAGGGTTTCTCTGTGTGATAGTCCTAGCTGTCCTGGAACTCACTCCAAGTGCCAGGATTAAAGGCATGCACCACCACCACCTGGCATTACAGCAATTATTATAAAGGAAAACATTTCAGCCGGGCATTGGTGGCGCACGCCTTTAATCCCAGCACTCGGGAGGCAGAGGCAGGCGGATCTCTGTGAGTTCGAGACCAGCCTGGACTACCAAGCGAGTTCCAGGACAGCCTCCAAAGCCACAGAGAAACCCTGTCTCGAAAAACCAAAAAAAAAAAAAAAAGGAAAACATTTCATCCAGGGGATTTGCTTACAGCTTCAGAGGTTCATTATGACCGAGAGCAGGTTAACATGCAGGCAGACATAATGCTGGCTACATCTTGATCAGAAGGCAACAGGAAGTAAACTGAGACAACGGGGTGTATCCTGACCATAGGAAATCTAAAAGCCTGCCCCCACAGTGACACACTTCCTCCAACAAAGCCATACCCACTCCTACAAAGTCACACCTATTAGTGCCACTCCTATGAGTTTATGGAGCCAATTACGTCAAATTACCACATTCTGGGCTGGAGAGATGGCTCAGAGGTTAAGAGCACTGGCTGCTCTTCCAGAGGTCCTGAGTTCAATTCCCAGTAACCACATGGTGACTCACAACCACCAATAATAAGATCTGATGCCCTCTTCTGGCTTGCAGGTATTCATATCCATAAGATATAAACACAATAAAATCTTTTTAAAAATTACCACATTCCACTTCTTGGCCTCTGTAAGCTTGTAACTATCATAATGCAAAATGTGTTTAGTCTATCTTCAAAAGTCCCCATAGTCTATCACAGCTTCTGAGATTCATGCAACCCCTTAGCTGTAATCCCCTGTAAAATCAAAATTTAAAAATGCAGATCACATACTTCCAACATATAATGTCACAGGATATACATTACCATTCGGAAATGCTGGACCAAAGCAAGACCGAAAACCAGCTGGGCAAACTCCAAAATCTGCATCTCCATGTCTGATGTCAAAACGCTCTTCAGATCTCCAGCTCCGTTCAGCCTTGTTGACTGCAGCACACTCTTTCTGTTGGACTGGCTCCACTCCCTGTTAGCAGCCTCCTCAGCAGGTATCTATCTCTAATATCTTGGGTTCTCCAAGGCAATCCAGACTTGAACTCCACAGCTTCACACAACGGTCTCTTTACTAGGCGTTTATTCAGGGACACCTCTGATACACACCTGGCCTCAGTGGCTCTCTTTAGGCACTGCGGCAAATTCCATAACCCATTTTTTTCTATCCTTAACTCTAAAGCCGGAACCATGTGGCCAAGGCTGCCAAGTTCTGCTGCCTATTAGGGCTGGAACTTTCCCCCCATATTCAATTACATCTTCACCAGCTGTGGTAGTTTGAATGTAGTTGGCCCCATAACCTCATAGGGAGTAGGTGTGGCCTTGTTGGAGG